CCGCGATACTCACACATCACGCCGCGATACTCACACATCACGCCGGGTAAGGACAAACATCACGCCGCGATATGGGAACATTGTACTTGGCTGCTAGTGTCGATCTCTACCATCCTCTAAGCACGTTTGTAGTTCATGCCCACAAAACCCGTTAAAACCCAACAACTGTTAAAACCACTGGAGCAATTCGTATAACCTTTCCAGCTTTGCCAGGGGTGCCACGGGTACCTTTTATTAGGCGACATTTGTCATGTTTCGTAGTCATCCATGAAGCCCCAATAGCAATCATCAGACGAGTATAAGTCGCAAGGGACATATGTCATATGCCATAAGATAAGATACCAGTCTTATTCACAAGACTTGACATCGACAGACAATCAGTCAGCGAGTCAGTGAGTCACCCACATGAAGAAACGACCCTCAAAAACAAGCAAACAAGCGCAAGTTTTAGAAGACACTAAAACTGCAATTTGATAATTATACCTTGATTAGGTTAATTTTTTCGATATCTGAGTATTTTCTTCTCTACCCGACCAGGTCAATCATGCTGAAGCCAGCCTTCTTGATGTCCGTTCGTATTTGGGCTCTGTCGGCCTTGGACCAGCCCGTCGGTTGCCACTCGTGATATTCACCGTTGAATCTGTTGAATTCGAAATTGGGAAAAACCGACTAAAATCGAATTGTGACATGTACCCAACGATCGATGTAGGTTTCCACTAGAATCCCATTAACAGATATTCAAGTCAATAATCTTAACGACACATGTATGCTACACCAATTCGTGTTTACTGTAGGCCCACTAGGTAAAAATCCAACATCAGATTCCCTTTTAAATTTCAGGGGAAAAGACGACGACCAACTTGCTTGGAATGTGCTTTTCTGTACTGCTAATCTGGGTGCTCCAGAATTCTTAGAAGTAATTTAAAAAGTAAACAAGATTCTTACTTATCATTGTTAGCCAGCACGTTGTAGTCTATCCGGCATGTTCCTCAGAATTTCATATTCGGCGCCCTCAACGTCCAGCTTGAAGATGATGTAATCATCATTGGACAAATTACCCACAATCCACTGCGAGAGGCCAATGACCGGTGTTGTCTTCTGATTGGACAACTGGCGGTAACCTCCTATTGAAGAGTGGATTTCAAATAAATCTGTGAATTTAGGGGTTTTTTAAAGTGAAACTTAGGCCTATAACTAAACGATTTAAGGGCGAAAATCACGCTGAATTTTAGATTTAAATACTTTGAAAGAGAATCACTTTTATTAGTCGAAAATCGAGGAAAAACTCAAGCTTTTCAAATTTCAATCTGAATTGTATTGTCCCTCGTTTATGAGATTGAGTGAAAACTAGTTGATAATAATATAAAACGAATCAATATCATTAAAACTATTATAAAGTACATGTATAACTATAGCCGTGAGACTTAATGACGTCACGCTTTGTTTAAATGTGTTCTTTCTGAATGCTTGTTTTGATATGACAGTCTCCACAGATATCATACAAAGAACAATGAACATAACATTGCCAATTAAATTAACTAACACAGACAAGAATCACATCATTACAGAGTGCACAAAGGAAAAAGCTACAAGCAGCTTAATTATTTCCATTGCGTACGCCACGTGAAGACGAGAGCAACAAGCTCTCGTAAGAAAGCGCACATGTCAATAAGTGTGACGTCATGATGCCGAAGATGTATTAAGACAAACCTGTTTTGTCATCTTTCTTTTCCTGACCAGACACGAACAGCGAACCGCCGCCCCACTGCATGTCAGCGCCATGATTACTACCTTTACTGGGTGACCAGACCATCTCCGAATAGGCCGTCATGTACCCTGAAGAACAAGTATAAGTTGACCACCTAGTTTGAAAGACGAAGCCAATAGTCGTGCAAAACTATAATCTTTGTCCCTAATTATTGGATGTCTCGATAGTGAAATGACCTATTCGAACGCGGCACTTGTTTATGGGTACAGGCTATCAAGTACACACAGGAGGTTACATGGACATAATTAGTCGAGCTTCGACAAAAATCACTGATTGTGTGGAAAGAGTAGAACATTAGCACTCACACGTACCATTTAACCAGCCAAAACCAAAAATTAAACACCGCAGAAGTCCAGCTTACGCTCAATAACAGTTCACGGCAGCAATATTATACATCACATAACATTAGCAATGCATATCGACCAATAAAGACCCAGTCATATTATAAAATGTATCGGGCTCTTTGTTACGTACCAGAGATACAACATTAAAGATTGTGATATTACAGCCCACAAACACCTTACTTGGGAATGGAGCACAGGGAGATGTTAAAATTATTCACCAAAGCAAAAGGTTTACTTTCAAGAGATTTAAACACAAATGATGATATTTTCAGTACTTATTGTTATGGAGACAATTCAGCTCAACGCCTACATCGACACTCAATCAAAAAGGCCAGTGGGATGGGAACTCTCCCGCAGGCAAATGGTCCAACCTGAACCGACTCAGATCGGACACTGGCCGCTACCAGCAATACCTTTGTAGAATAGACCTTTGTCATGCTGCCACCATTTTCAGTCATGTTCCCTGTATCCAATAACAGTACTGAATGATGTTTTTTGTGCAAAAAGGAACCAGACTATTTTCCTTCCAGCCTCGCTTTGGTTACGTTGATACAAACGAAACAATACTCATTTTCGAATGCCTACTCATATATTGCAACATATACAATGTATGCAGATACACGAATGTTTTGTATGCAATATCTTCAGAGGCGTCGCTTGATTCCAAAGTACAAAGTACAAGGGTAAGGTCTTCGCCAAACTGCACAGCAACGACATAATACGCTCTGAGAATAATTAACCGTACCGACTTTCGGGCCCACAGCAATCCTTTATTTTATAAACACAAAACACTAAAGGCCAATGATATTTACCTTCTACAGCTTGGGACCTTCATGTACCAGCTTTCCAACAATAACCTGCCTAACACTAATGTCTATCTGTTCAATGTTTTGTAAAAATCAGGATGTTCACCGTCATTTTACTAAGCGTTATCATGATATTCACCAGACCTGGGCTCGTACAACTTTAACTCAAAAAACTGTTAAACATGAAGGCCCCAAGCTGTGGAATTCTCTCCATCCGTCTCTTAAAAAGGTGTCAAATGTGTCATTATTCAATCGCAAATACAAAACCCAATAAATTAACAAATATGTGGTAGAATAATCCCATTTTGTAAGACCAAATAACTCTAGTTTTATTTCGTATTACTAGCTCTGTACCAATAGTTTTTGATATTTAACTCCTATCGTTGTACTTGTACTTGTAAGTAATTGTAACTGTAATTGTAATTGTAATTGTAATTGTTCTTTATTACAGTGGGGGTCTCCACTCGACAAGCTTATGCTTTTTGGAGACCTCCATCCATCCATACACAATAATTCAAATGTTCAGTAATATTATTATGTACATGTACTTGTATGCGTTGGGAAAATTAAAGATTTGATTTATTGATTGATTGACATGATAGGCCCATACATGAATAACAACGCGCAGTGGCGAACCAAAAGGCTAAACGAACTCAAATTGTGGAAATTGGTACTTCGAAGCTACAACTGAACCGCCTTTCTCCTAAATTCGTTTCAAAAAATGCTATATTTTCGAGAGAAAAGAAAATATTTCGTTCGAACACCATTAATACGCTTTGATCCACATTGATCCACTATAAGGTATATTTTGAGGGTCTTATAATCTAATGTCAGGATAGTGAAAACATGCAACCCAATAACTCTTTAACAGTTTGCCATTTTCAAAAAAAATATCCGGCATTATTCCATTAGGCTACGCTGCACTAGCACTGTCTGCAAAAATTGAATTCAAATAACTTGCACTCTAAATCTGATGGAAAAATAGTACAGATATAAAAACATCGTGTGAACTGAAGCAACCGCAAAAGACTTGTAGTTGTTGACCTTGCGATATGTGGCATAATAGACCTTTATTGGGGTACGCCATCTTGAAAATCATAGTGAAGCAAATAATCAAAACAAACATGGCGGCCTAAATAGTGTATGCGGTGAACGAGTGACTCTTGTAAAGTTACAGAAAATTTAAGATGGATGGATCGATCGAAATTATCCGAATATTTGGATAAATGAGGTTATTCTACAGGAGAACATTCTTCAAGAGTCACGTCTTCACTGTTTTGGGGAAAATAATGTTTTAAAAATTACCAAAATTACCTTCTTTTTTTCCTTTTTTTTTTTAATATTCCTAACCAGGAATGCGTTTCATTCATTCAATCGGATTTCCATCAGATGGGCACAAATTGGCGAACCTTGCTGAATTGGGAGCTAAATATTTCTACCAAACTCGTCCCCAGGGTGTCGAGCAGTACGCGCCCATCACTAGACCTGCTCTTTCACCCTGGTATATTGGATAATTAATTTGCATGTGCAAGATTTTGAACACGTATGCAAATGAGGAGTCTGGTGCCTGCATGTGCGTTAAATTAGCGTTTGTTTTTGCATGCGGTGTCTGGGGTAAAAACAGCATCAATTCGTCGCGCCGTGAGTTATGAAAGCACGATCTTTTTTTTTGAAGTTAAAATGTAACAATCTGGCCCGCAAATATGCAATATCACATTTCATATAATGAGCAAACTGGAAAGGAAAGGAGTATTTTTGAGAAGGCGAGAACGTTATAATTACAATAATCGTGAAAACACATAATGCACGTTGGAAATAACAACACCAACTACACCATATAAATCCATTACTAGCAAATTGCGGTATCGAATCAGGATACAGGAAGAAAGTTTCCTATCCAGGGCTTACTATTGGAAACGAGGTTGGAAATAAAGTAAGCACCGGGGACGAGGTTGATTTCTGCCGTATAACATCCTGTCTACGACGCCATTTTGTAGCGGTACGCAATTGAGGAGGCCCACTCAAATTATAAGATTTAAGGAAGCCAAGGCGATCAACAGAATGAAAACAGGAGTCAAAATGTACTTTTTTTCCAAAACTCATCTCATGATTATGACATCAATATCAATAGGCCTGAGACCTAATGACGTCACGCTTTGTTTACATGTGCGCTTTCCTATGTGGTAGACGGTCCCTACTTAGTCTGGCTTCCCGACTTCGCTCCCATAGGAAAGCGCAGATGTAAACAAAGGCATTACGTCATTAGGTCTTAGGTCTATTTGAGCTCACAAAAATAGTGTACTGTTACACTTATAGATGAATTAGATTCAATGTCTACAAGCTACAAGACTAAGTTCTAAGTTGATAAAGTAAAGTTAAGTAAGTTCCTAGTTAAGTTAAGTTCCTAGTAGTCCTAATTCCAAGTGTAAAATTCCCATACAGTTGCAAATAATCAAAGTTCTGAGTAGTCTAATTATTAAAGTTAAAGTTCCCCGAACGCCGGGTCAGTGCACGACTGTGTGGACTCCGCCTTCCAGATTATGATACAGTACAGTATATGAGGCCCGGCACAGATCAAAACGCTAAAACATACAACGGTCGCCACATAAACTCAACATGAAACAGTTTAGAGCAACAACCTGAGATTTATGAGCAACAATATCAAAATGAGATTTGCACATGAAACTTTTGGGATTAAAATGGAACAAATTCACCTCAAAATCACTCCCTTTTTACATACTATACTTCAATCAGCAGTGTCAGGGATAGTGACACAATGAAATGAGAATGTACAGCAATTACAAAGTCTGGTCTACCTAAGTGAAATGGTTGGTTCAGAGCACTTATCGATCTATACGATACTCACACTTTGATGGTACGGTGTGCAGACTGAAAAGGATCATGGGCCTTATTCACGAGTCGGCCATATTCAATAGAAAGTTAGGTAAAATCTTAAAAGCAACTTAATTGCAATTCCAGTCTGCCTCAAAAAATAATTTTAAATTTGTTGTTAAACATTCCCTAATGTTTAAAGCCATATTCAAAAAAAAATTACAGTAAAATAAGGCTGCATTGTGCCTGCATAAATAGTCTGGCGCCATCCCATTCAACATTTATCAATTAATGAAATACATTCAGGGAACTCGACAAAAATGGCCAACTCGCGAATTAGGCCCATTTCGCGCGCACAGCGCACTGACTGCAGGCGTTTATAATACATTTATAAAAGAAGTTGGGCAATGTGCCAATGTACGGTGCCTCCTAAAAGACGTTTTCCTACATTACAATTTGTTCGTGTCAGTAGAAGGCACACAAAAACGAAAAAGAAAATCAGGCAGAAAACATTAATCAACTAGAATGGTTGTGATCACGATCCAGACCACTGTCGCGTATTGTCTTCATTCGGGGCTACTGAGGAGCAGTCTTCAGTACATTGTACTTATAACAAGACCCAATGTGCACGAGCAATCCCCTCTCAAACATGGCGACACCATGGCCTGATGTCATACTCGAACTCTTGGCACACAATTCATTTTGAGGAAGTTCGATCAGGAGACATTTGTTAATCAGTGTTAAATTCGGGAGGCATGGTGTTTAGTCCAACTTTGGTCAAGAGTCGTAATAAAAAAAAAACTCTCGGCCGTTCCTGGTTGCCTGCTGCGCATTGTATTACAGACGGCTATTGATAACCAGCGATGCACAAAAACCTCAGTAAGTTGGTCCTCAGTACAGAACTGTAGAATGCCAAGAATGTAGCCAAAGATGGACTAGTCTTGGCCAAAGACGTCAGTGGATCGATCAGTGTGAGTGGATTGCGATCTATTCATGTATATGAACATGGCTCTAAATTATAAAATCCCACCAAAAAATGAGGAATACCGCGACTGAGAGACGCACTCGTTTAAATCCACCAACTTAAAACCTGACGTCTCAACTAGATAATCCAACATGAAAACGGAATTCATGTACGTGTCTGGCAGGTCCGAGTCCACAGTTAGGACGCCCCCAGTGTTCTTGGATAAAGCATCGTGAATCTTGCGTAATGCCTTTGGGACGCGCTCCACATCACGATACTGGTAGTAGTTATTCCACGTTAATTCATCAGGTGTACCTGAGAAATGCAGATATACAAGACATTATTGAATAGCATATGGAAAAAAAACAAATTAGACCACTCTGCTAAGTGATATCACACTTTGGTTGGAGAAATTGATATTAAATATTTTCGTGACCAAACCAAACCAATCCAATGTGGTCCAACTGATCTGCATGGCACTCCCTAAGAGCTATAGTCCAATCACTGAATGTTGGATCGCTATGCTTTCTTTACGTGGAGTCAGGTTGGGATGAGAGCCACCAAGCTCCTGTAAGAAAGTAACAGATAAACAAAGTATGACGTCATCCTGTCTCGGATCTATTCTTACCCTGTTTAGCAGGAAACTCCGCCACCGGTTTGATAACCCGCAGACCTCTGCTCTTGGCCTCTCCGAGGATCGTCGTCGATGCATCTCCCTGCACCGTAGGTAGATAATAAGACGCTGTGATGCCTATCTTCTCCAAGCGCAGAATGGAGCTGATCAGACCCATGCGGACCCAAGCACCGGGCATCAGTTCTAAGTGCCCCGGAGGATTGTGCCCATCCTCCCGTATACCGATGTTGAAGTGCTCGCTCCAGGTTTTGACAGCCTCGGAGTTTCTCTGAACAAAGTCTCCGTACACGAACAGCGTGATGGGAACTTTATACTTGTGGGCTGCCAGTGTCTCTACCACTCTCCGCGCACGTTTGTAGTTCATGCCCACAGCGACTGTTAAAGCCACAGAGCCACTGGCGCAATTCGTATAAACCTTTCCAGCTTTGCCAGGGGTGCCATCGAGTACCTTTTATACAATGGGACAACAATGTAAGATTCTTAGCGACTTCTTGTCATATTTCACAGTCATCTGAAGTCATCCATGAAGTTAAGCCCAATGGCAATCATTAGACGAGTATAAGCCGCAAGTGACAGTCTTGTCACAAGATAGCATGCCCAGTCTAATTTTCAAGACTTGACATCGACAAACAATCAGTCAGCGAGTCAGTCACATGGGGAACGACCCTCGAAAACAAGCAAACAAGCGCAAGTTTTAGAATTCACTGAGACTGCAATTTGATAATTATACCTTGATGGGGTTCATCGCTTCAATATCCGAGTATTTTCTTTCCTCCCCGGTCCAGTCAATCATGCTGAAGCCAGCCTTCTGGATGTCGGATTGTATTCGGCGTCTGTCGGACCAGGACCAGCCCGTCGGTTGCCAGTCGTGATATTCACCGTAAAATCTGTTGAATTCGAAATTGGGAATAAAGCAAAAGTACAGTCTTCGTTCAAACGACATTATCATAATGCTGGCTGGTTTTGTAAATGCGTCTAGAGAACAGACTAAAATATAATTATGCCATGTAGCCAACGATTGCTGTAGGTTTCTACTAGACCCATTAACCCAGATATTCAAGTCAATTATCTTAACGACACATACATGTACATTAATGGGTGTTTATTTACTTGTAGGCCTATAATAACCAAGTTTTAAGGTTAAAATCCGACAACAGAGTCCTTTAAATTCCAGGGAAAAACACGACCAACTTGTTTGGAATGTGCTTCGCTGTACTGCTAGTCTAGGTGTTCCAGAAATCTTAGAAGTAGTTTTAAAAAAAAAGTAAGCGAGATTCTTACTTATCAATGTAAGCCAGTACGTTGTTGTCAATCATGTTCCTCAAAATTTCATATTCGGCGCCCTCAACGTCCAGCTTAAAGATGATGTAATCATCTTTGGAGAAATTATCCACAATCCACTGCGAGAGGTCAATGACCGGTATTGTCTTCCGATAGGACAACTTGCGATAACCACCTATCGAAGAGCAAATTTCAAATATTATCTGAGTGCAGTTGTTGTTTTTTAAGAGTGAAACTAAGAGCGAAAATCTCTCAATTCTAGATTGAAATACTGTGAAAGAAAATCACAAATCAGTTGAAAATCGAGGGAAAACTCGGTCTTTCGATTAAATGCACGAATGTTCAATCTGAATTTATTGTCCCTAGTTGATGAGATTGATTGAAAGCTGCTAATAATGTAAACGAATCAATATCATAAAAACTATTGTTTGTAAAGTGCATGTATAGCCGTGAGACTTAATGATGTCACGCTTTGTTTAAATGTGTGCTTTCTAAATGTTTGTTTTTATTTGACAGTCTCCACGGATATCGTACAAAGAACAATGAACATAACATTACCAATTAAATTAAAAACAGACTAGAATCCCATAAATACATAAATACAATGTGCACAAAGGAAAAAGCTACAGAAGCTTAATTAGTTCCATTGTATAAGCAGGTGCAGACAAGAGCAAGAATAAGTGTGACGTCATGATGCCTCAAATGTTATATGACAAACCTGTTTTGTCATCTTGCTTTTCCTGACCAGACACGAACAGCGAACCGCCGCCCCACTGCATGTCAGCGCCATGATTACTACCTTTATTGGGTGACCAGACCATCTCCGAATAGGCCGTCATTTCCCCTGGAAGAAAAGAGTTTCTCCCTTTCATTGTTTCAGTGAGGGGCAACTTTACTAAAATGAAGACATTTCTTTTTAATTCAAAATCGGGGAACAAAAATTACCGAAATATTATACATGTATTGGTGGCTGCCTGTACTGAGAAAATACATCCAGACACGTGGAAGAAAAAAACAAGAAAAAAACAAACAATAACTTAAACAAAGACAATTGGGAACCGCCAACATAGGGCTTGATAGCTCAGTTGGTAGAGCACTAGAACGGTAATCCGTAGGTCGCAAGTTCAAGCCCTGCTCCAGTCAATTTCAAATTTCAAATACAAAACTAAACACACAAACTTGGTTGTTTGAAATCCCGCCACCTACCATTCTTGCCTGCAACGCCGACGGGACAGTGAAGATGGTGATTACCGTAGGGTTTGTAGTACGGTGCCAGACGATCATCAATTTCAAACGAATGGATGATATAATCTTGTCCCCCTGGGTACGTCTCACGAAACAGCAGCACAGTGGATGCCACGTTGCCTCCGCAGTCAAGCAGGATCTTCCTCGGTGTTCGAGGTGCGTTCGCCTTTGGTTCGGAGACATCGGCTTTGTGTTTGGGAACTTCGGGCTTAACGTTGTTGACTGACGCTACGACCTCATCAGCAGTTCTAGTATTCAAGTGACAACATGACACTATTGATCTTTCAATTTTCATGATCCGCGGCCACTTTTTACTATAGGCTAGCGGGAAACAAGTAACCAGTAAACACTTTAAGCGATGATTACAAGTTTATTGTTGCCACAACAAAATTGATAAGCATTAATTTTATGCTTAGCAGTTTCGTGAAACCCACTGTCTGCTATGCCCACTCGATAATTATTAATTATCGAGTGGGCATAGCAGACAGTGGGTTTCACGAAACTGCTAAGCATAATTTTGTTGTGGCAGTCAGGCCTGACCAACATCCAAAGGATTATTAATAATTAATTAATAATCCTTTTGGATTGTTGTAGAAACTTACGCAGCTTTGCCTTATTTACGCTCGAATTTATACACACCATTCACCCCAGAGATATTCATTTTATTATTAATGATCAACTTTTTTTTTGAAATGCTATTAATGGCGATTAGAACTAAAACAATTTCTTTTGCAGCCTGGAAGAAAAAGAGTGCTTGCAGAGATGAATCTCGTCTCGAAAACGAAATTAAAGATTTGTCTAATAAGGTTGCTCACGGTGATGATAGTCTGTTGGGTACATTGAAGTCTAAACAAACTAGCCTTGTTAATCTTCGTAAGACTAAATTGGATGGTGTAATGATTAGATCTAGAACAAGGTGGATGGAACACGGTGAAAAACCATCCAAATACTTCCTTAATATGGAGAAACGTAATTGTATTAACAAGACTTTTAATCGTGTTATTAATGATAATGGTACCGAATTAAAATCCTCTAGGGATATTATACAAGAGGCACGTTATTTTTATAAAAAACTGTACTCGTCTTCAGAAGGGGAAACAACAGTTAATTTACAATCTATTTTTGAGAATTCGGACTCTCCAGTTCTTTCAAATATGGTACGTGATAGCATAGAGGGCCCCCTGTCCCATCGAGAAATATTAAATGTTTTGAAGAACACAAAAAATGGCAAGTCCCCTGGCTCAGATGGTTTTAGTTTTGAATTTTACAAGTTTTTTTTCAACGATTTATCGTGGTATTTATTACGGTCCCTCAATTTTGGTTATGAAACCGGTGAACTTTCTGTTACTCAGCAGTGCGGTATTATTACTTTGTTGCCTAAAGGGGATAAACCTTGTCAATTTTTAAAGAACTGGAGACCGATCTCACTATACACTTCGTACAAATTAGCTTCTGGATGTATAGCAGAGAGACTTAAAACATGCCTCTCCTCTCTTATTCATGAAAATCAAAAGGGTTTCTTGCAAGGTGAGAATATTCGTTTAATGTATGATTTGCTTAATTATACAGAAAAACATAAGATTCCTGGTATGTTTTTATTGATTGACTTTGAGAAAGCTTTTGATTCTGTTTCGCATGATTTCGTACTCAAAATTTTGAACCAGTTTAATTTTGGTCCTTCTATACAGAAATGGTTTCGGGTTTTTTACAGTGGAGCGACAGCTTCGGTGTTAGTAAATGGATTCTTATCGGAATCATTTAAAATAGGGCGTGGCTGTCGACAAGGTGATGGTTTGAGCCCTTATTTGTTTCTTTTGTGCGCCGAAATTATGGGCATGATGGTTCGTTGTGATAAGATTTTAAGGGGAATTCAGGTAGATGGCAGAGAATATAGACTTTCTCAGTATGCTGATGATACAATATTATTTTTAGACGGTTCAGAGCGTTCTTTTGATAGAGCCTTCAAGATTTTGGGCGATTTTGCTAGCATTTCTGGTCTTAAAGTAAATATTGAAAAAACCAATGCGGTGTGGATTGGTGGTAATAAGGGTCGACAGAAAGGTCTATGTGATCATATTAATGTGAAGTGGGTTGGTCCACAAGATTATTTTAGGGCACTTGGTATTGATTTTTCCACCAACCTTGATAATATGACGACTGTGAATTATAACAGAGTTTTTGATTCTACTTGTAGTTTAATTGACCAGTGGTCTAGAAGAAATTTAACCGTTCTTGGCCGTGTTACCATAGTGAAGTCGCTTATTTTATCCAAATTTACTTTCCTTATTTTGTCACTCCCTGACCCACCTTTGTATTTAATAAGGGAATAAATGTGTGCTCCGCAGGTTTTTATCACTCGTTTAATACCGCTTAGAGTCTGGGTGCTGATAATTACCCGAGCCGGAGGCGAGGGTAATTATCAGCACCCAGACTCTAAGTGGTATTAAACAGAGTGATAAATACCGACCGAGCACATATTTATTCCCATTCATAAATACCTTATCCGTAAAAAAATATCAAATAATTCGTTCGAAAAATCCCGATTTTGTTCAACAAGTTCACTTCATGCTTTTTGAAACATCCCTCTAGCAAAATAATGGAGTGTTCAGCTGGCGAGTAAGATGTAAACAACCCTTTTATGGAGATTGACGCGCGCGTAACATGTTCTGCGCGATGTCACGCAGAACGCACCTGGGGCGTTGCGTTTTGAATTTAGAACTATAAAATTCTGACTCGCTTGTAGTGTTGCGCATGCCTACGTGAGGATTGTGAACGTTCAACCAATGAAACGGTAAGAGGCACTGGATTTTTAGGAGTCCACATTTTATTGTGACACTGGAAAAGTGTTTAAGACCAGCTAGCCATGTCTTTATCATCCGTTTAAGACCGGCCACGTGACGGGCTCTCGACCAATGGAATAGCTAAACTGTCTGAGGTATTTATGAATTAAGAATCTAAATGTTATGTTGTATAAATTTATCTGGAAAGGTGGCGATAGAGTTGCCAGAAATCAGATGATTCAGAATTATGGTCATGGGGGAGTTAAGATGATTGATTTGCGATCCTACATCAGTGCTCTTAAGTGTACCTGGATCCGTAGATTATTGAACACTAATTAAGGCCTCAGCTTGGCCCAATCTGTTTTATAAGATTTCTGAAATTGAGAATGTGCTTTTTGTGGAAGGCGGTCATTCTAGTATTGTTCATTCACTTAAGAGGACAGCTCACCCTAACCAGTTTTGGATTGACGTTCTCAATGCTTGGAGTTCTTTTGTGCAATGCCATGTGCCAGTTAATCAGAATGATCCTCTTAGCAATGTTTTGTGGAAGCACGGCTGTTTCATTCCCATAGACCGTGCGTAATAAAGTCTGAACAAACACACAATCGTGAATTGTGTACTCCGGTAATGACCAGGGGAAAAACAAGATGGCGGCCTCCGTTAACACATGTACATGTTCATCGTACAAGGCCAGATTCTGCAGGTTTTTTGTGACACATTTCGTTCACATAATGATACAGAAAGGGGAAAAAGAAAAATCATTTCACAAAACCCTACTGTGAATATATATCTCGATATTTAAATGAACGTTAATATTTAATTGCAAGCTATCTGCAATGATTCGTTGGACATTAATTTTGTGCATAAACTTTGGGAATGGAAGAATTACTTCTCTCTTTAAAAAGAAACTTATATTATTCATCTATATTCATGCTTTCTTTAAAAAAAATATTTTATGAATGTAAATTTATTAATTTTATGTACATATTGTGCGTATTAAATTGACCCCTGCTTCTCTCTTCAATCATTGTTTTAATTAAAAAAAAACAACATACATCCCTAATATCTAAAAAGGACTGATAAGGATTGAGTGCGGACGGATCCCAGGTGCGTAAGCAGCATTACTTGCGACCGCGCTTGCAGCTACTTGCACTGGAGATACGAAAACACCATCAAATGAACGTCGTCCATTGTCCAATCACAAAATGGCAACAAGGCTACGACTATTGCGCAGTGTGACCACAAAAATTGAACACGAAAACAATCGTCTTTTTTTGTAACTTTTAAAGCCCCCCGTTTGAATTTAAACATAACTGAAACATTAAATTTACTTAGTTTAAATATATTTACAAGATTTAGGGTTCAAAACTGCTTGGAACGAATAAAACAGGAAAAAATGACGCTTTTTGTGTGGACGTTTTGTGTTTTCGTCCGTTCTTTCTTTTTAATCAAACAACTCGCAAAATCTCCCCAAATAAATTATACTCCAATAGTACATACATATTTACAGCAAATTACAATTGATTTGAAACATATTTCATTAAAAATGTACGTTATAAAGTTGGGCCAGTACAATTTCATGAGATTTTGGGCCTCGTTTTTGAGGGGTTATTCAGCTTACGTTGCACGGATGCGCGTAGCGATACGAACTTTTCGTGTGCTTTTCAATGGGAGTGACGTCATCATAAAGCGCGCGTAATTGAAAAAAAAGTTTTTGTACACAAATCAATATGCACAAAGCGCATGAGCGCTCTATGCACCGCAGTTTGCTGAATAACTCGCTATGAGTAACTATGACTTCCACTTAACAATTCTCAATAAACTGTGTCGTTGCTGTGGAAAAAGGCTTACACTCAAGAATCAAGATTCAAGAAAACTACAGGATATTTCTAACTGCAGAAAGGACATTTATTTGATCTTTGGAATAGACACTTCACAGGACAGGGTTGATCAACATCCAAGGTATATTTGTCTAAACTGTTCTAGGAAAGTCAGACACTTAAGGGCTGGGACTAGGGACTACACAACTCCAGAATCTCCTGCAGTTGATTGGACACCACATGTAAGAAACAGACAGTGTAGTATATGTAATCTGTATCGCGAAAACTCAAAAACTGGGCCTCAACCTAAAAAACGTACTTCCATAAAACGCCCATCCGCTGTGCTGGCTGATTTGCCATTCGATATTACATCCAGGAATATCTTTGAACATTTTTCAAGCAATTCTCAAAACTCCCACACTGCAAGTTCTCCGTACCTGGAACTTTTTGGAAGGAACTCTGAGGAACATTCTATTTTAACTTGTTCCATCTGTCAGTGCATAATTTCTACCCCATCAGTGCAAACACCCTGTGAACATTATTTTTGTGCAGTTTGCTTGTCATCATATTTCACATTTCATCGATTAGCCCTTCTCAAGTGTCCAATATGCCAGTCACAAATTCAGTTCAAAGACATTCGGGATAGTCCACGAGTTTTGAATGTCCAGCTTCAAAATTCGGATGTAGCTTGTAGTGTTTGTGGTGTCATCGGCAAACTTCAGAAATTAGCCGAACATTCCTGTGAAGCTGCATCACAACACCCAAGTGTTCAAAAGAAACTGCGATGCACTGTTGTGGAGAGCGTTGCTTCCTCCAAGCCTGAGGATGTACTTGCTGAAGCTGCAAACGTTCTTCGCAAGAGTGCCCTGCAGCATCCTCATGACCAGCCAATTCCATTGGCAGTTGAGAAGGCAGCGGACCGCTGGACCTGGATTAGAAAAAAATCAGAGTGGAAAGGCCACCACATTAGAAACAGGAGGCAGGGTAGGTAATCTAATTCACACAATACATATATACTGAACATAAACAATGATTAGTTCAAGTGAGGGGGGGGGGCTATTTATCTTACATTTTGGAGTAATTACAAAGTCTACTAAGATTTTGTTTTCTTGATTATCATTTTTTGTAAGATTTCTTTCCAGAAATCATCATTAATTAAACATTATAATACAATATTCATTTTGTTTAATGTTTTAAAAATACTTCACAAAAACTGGATCCACTGAACACTTGTAATTGTAACACTGAAAATACCGCAATGCTGTAGATTGCACATTGGAATCTTATCTGTTTCTTAATTTAGCCTGCTCATATCCGCCAAGTGTCATGTAAGAGCCAACAAAGTGTGTCAAGTCCATGCATAAAGGAAAGTTCACCCATGCCACCCAACAAAGCACTTGCCATGATGAGGGATTGTCATCTGGCCTGGGACCAGATGCGAAAAATAAGACGGTAAGTAAAGTATATTTTTGCATCATCCTTATTAATTTAAGTTATGCACACAAATTTCATACATGTATCAGAATGCTATTTGTTCATCACATGTATTGTGTTGTTGAACATTTCAGCTATGTGCCAACTTCTGCCATTTCGTCCGAGCGAGCCATGAGACGTAGCCAGAAAGAACTTCTGAAGAACTACATTGAAGGTGAAATGGTCCCCCTTCACTTCCCCAGCTCGAAAGCGGATGCAGTTGATGGCTACATAAGTCAAGATGTGCCCTTCGTCAGAGTGAATGACCTTTGTGCTATGATATTTGACTACCTTGACCGACTCGATCAGTAAGTCTAAATTGGAGACAAATTTTTTTTCCAGAATTTTAAGGGCATTGTCTTGATTCAATGTCGTAGCTCCACCTAAACTGAAATTAATTTTTTCACCCCCAACAGGACCAACTCCCTAACATGGCACAATGGTGTAATACCGGACGACGAGATATGGATAAAGTTGGGGGGGGACAAAGGAGGATCCACGTTCAAAATGGCCTTTCAGATTGTAAATGTTCCTCAAACCCTTCCTAAGGTGATCGACCAAGTATCTGATCTGGCCCAGCGAAAATGGAGGTACATGTACAAAACAGCAAGACATAAAAGCATATGTATAGACAGCTGCAGGCATAATTCCGGGTCTTTATCATTCTTGGGCTTAAATTTCTACCTCTTTTTTTTATTCCAGAGGACGAAACTTCCGTCTCCTGTGCTTTGGGGACTATGCTTTCCTGACGAAGCTGTATAGAATATGCAGCTCAAACGGTAAGTGCATTGTATTCGTTGACATGTGTGTACAGAGTGCACTAAGATATCTTGGTCTTGTGGAACATTAAGTACTTATTTACTGTTTGCCATGCACACATATTAAAGGACAGTTTCCATTTTCATTGTCTTTTTTTCTGTGCAGCCCGTTGCTGTTGCATATACTGCCGCATCAGTAAGGACCAGATGCAGAAACCACTGTGTGAAAGGGAACCATCATTCAGAAGATCTTTGCAGTCTATTTGTGAACAGCATCAGCTGTTTGTGAACGATGGGCAAAGACGAAACAGAGCAAAAGACGTGTCGTACAGTGTCGTCAGTACCCCCATGCTCCATGTTGAAATTCACAATGTACGTCTTTTTCTATAAGAGATGTCAACAATTGCCCAACATTTATTAAACGTCAGGGAATTTATTTTCTTTTAATATTACTTTAAAAAAATATAACTTCATATTTCTGATACAGGTAATTGTCCCAACCTTACACATTTCCCTCGGTGTGTACAAGCGGCTGTACGATCTCTTTGAGATGGAATGCCACAGGCTTGATGTCGAAGTCCTCAAGCAGAGAGCCATCGGAAGGTCGCTGGACGATGAGGATGACAGCTTGGCCACCGACTTTGACAAGAAAGTCGAGGATGAATTGTCCAGGCAGAGGAGAGTAGAGAAAGATCTGCAGGAAAAGCGGAACAACTTAGAAGAACTCGAAGAAGAAGTTCCCCTCCCTCTCCTGAATGACCTTCACAACAGTACGGGCAATGAAATGGTCAACAAAGTCCAGATGCTCAGGGCAGACATTGCTGAAATGGTTTGTACAGAAAAAAGTTTTTTTTTTTCATGTTTAAAATTATCTTTATAATTTAAGTCAAGAGCCACTGAGATGTTCTTTTTCTGTGTATTTTATTTTGCAGGAGCAGAGTGACGGGAAAGCTGAACTGGAGTTTGGGACAGGTCCCATCACCAGCAGTTTAGATGATGTGCTACAAAAACATAAAGTCAACAGGCAGGCCTACCATGGCAAGTCTTTCGTGGGAAACCACGTCAATAAGTGTTGCCAGGTACTTGAAAATGTTGTCTCTTTATATACTATGACAAAGCAGAATCAATCATCCAATATCTACTGCTTCTGCCTGCTTTATGTTGTTTATTGAATATTTAAGTAAACATACCTGGTGATTTCAAAGTTGTGTTCTACTGTATCCCATCACAGATTCCAGTCATTGAAGACCTCACTGCCCAACCTCGACGGATGACTGATCGACTTCATCTCGATGGCCTGACAATTGCAGCATCTGAGCGAATAAAAAGAAAGGCAGCAGAAATAGGCAAATCATTCCATGAAGTGTTTCTGAGCTTCGCTGATGTCCACCATGCCATCAACCACGCCAATCCTATATCACATTCAGACATGGAACGTACAGGTACGACAGCTGAATTTGCAGATTTACAGAAACCATTCTTTACATAAAAATAAACATACAAATTTCTAAAATAAAATAAAAATAAAGTGTATCAGATCATTGACTGAATTGTATTAAACTCTGCTCTCTGTTTCCATAGATGTGTGCATTAAACACTTCCTGCGTGTTTATCGAGAGTCATTTCCGAATACCAGCATTACTCCAAAGCTGCATATGTTAGAAGACCACACCATGGAGCAACTGCAGACATTCAAAGTTGGCCTAGGATTGCTGAATGAGCAGGGCGGTGAACTGTTACACACCGAATTCAACAGAGCTGGGCGAGCAGTGCATGGAATGAGGGATGAGCTTCCGAAGTTGATGAGCATCATGCGCCGCCATCTGACTACAACATTCCCTGAAGTCCATGCAGAAATGCAGCAATAGGACTTCCATGTTCGTGAACCTGAGAATAAAGCAAAAATTAAGGTCTTATCTTGCAAAAGGTTATGCTAATTCCAGCTCAATGCTCCTTAGATTACAAATGGGATGAGGGTAACAATTTTTAGATCGTCATTAACAGTGTACAATATGCCATACAATTTATATTAAGTAATTTGTAAAGCTAAAGCCAAGGGAAGGCAACTGATTCATATTTTATTTCACAGTGTTGAACATGTTGACTATGTTTACATTTAATGAATTTTCTTGTTGCTTCCTTAATAAAATTTGATCGTTAGTCTTACTTAACAACGCTAGTTTTTTTCTTTCTTGAGTTACACTGTACTCGACTCACAAATCACAATCATCATGATCATATGACATGATCACTCAGTCATTAATGAACAGGCCAAGGCTAATTACACTAGCTGACTAGTGACTTACTAAAAGTAAAAAAAATGCTAGGCCTAAGTTTAATTTCATGTTTCAGCTTGCCGAATTTTCACATCGTTAAATACGTTTGGATCTGAAAATGAAATGAAACAGGAGGCGGTGTCCGGAAATTGGGCACGAAGTTTACCGTACAGTGTACGGCAAACTTCGTGCCCAATTTCCGGACACACGTACAAACGCATATGATGGCGTAGCCCCATAAATGTGGCCTATTTACTGGACTGCCTCCGTAAACATAGGCCACACATCCACATGTACAAAAATCGTGTCGACGGAGCCAAATTTTGATTTTCACATTTAGGCTTAGTTTGTAGGGTTTTTTTGCTTTAGAAGCATACTCACCCTCTTTACAGGCTAATCAGAAAATGCTGCCTTTTTCAGATGTCTAATTTTTGTGAAATTTCATGTTGAAATTTTGATACGCAAACATGTAAAAATGAATCTGGAAATTTCACGAAAAATATACATCTGAAAAAGGCAGCACTTTCTGATTAGCCTATAAAGAGGGTGAGTATGCTTCTAAAGCAAAAAAAACCTACAAACTAAGCCTAAATGTGAAAATCAAAATTTGGCTCCGTCGACACGATTTTTGTACATGTGGATGTGTGGCCTATGTTTACGGAGGCAGTCCAGTAAATAGGCCACATTTATGGGGCTAATGATGGCGTGGCCCAGATTTCGGACACGGATTTTTGTTTAGCCTATTTCTCCAATTTTCCCTCGTCTTTATTTGCCATGGTATTGTTGGTAGGCCTACGTTGACAATTTAATTAGAAAAACGGCATACGGATGATGATTTTAAAATAAGCGAAAACATGGCCTTAACACAATTCGCATGATGAAGCATAATCGAGTAGATTTTGTGAGGCTAGGCTAGTATACATGTACGGATGTGCACATTGTATACGCGCGTGATAAACACGACACTGAAAAATAACCAAATTCAATCCATTATAATCCTAAACATCCTTTTGGCCCATTCTCACCTTCGGGGAAAAATCCATCTAGAAGACTTTATCTTTTCACAGGTAGTCATCAATTGTTGACAGGATTGGCGTACATTGGTGAAAAACGACCTTATTAACGGGCATTTTCACGGTCCCGCTCGTTTCGTCGTGGTCACACGTGGTCACATGGGCCATTTTGCGCCACTATTCTTATATGTCAACAAGTCGACCCAACAGTTAAATGCCTTTGAATCATGACCTTTTGTAAATATTCATGATGTATCTTATAAATTATGCAAATATATAACAAGGGGCCAATCAGAAATGAGGGTTTAAAGAGGGGTCAAACCTCCCTGCGCGCGAACCCTAAAAAGCAATTATGACGTCACAAGCGATGTTTGCACGGCTGGCCGCATTTGAACAACAGAGGGCGTACTTTTTATTACGCGAAACAGCCGTAGAAGAACCACAGAATTACGATTGGGAACAATTGCATTTTTTACAAACACTGGGCAAACAAAGGGGCAAACTTTGTGTCTGACCTACTTGACGATAAAGGTGCTTTTTTGAGCTTAGAACGCTTTATGTTAAAATTCAGTATTAGGACTAACTTTCTAGAGTATGGTGGAGTTGTCAAGGCCGTCAAAAATTCTTTTCGTGATTTACTTAAAGGGGTTAAGTCAAATATTTGCTTTCCTTTTATCCCATTTAATTTTGAGATACTTTTGTCAGATAAAAAAGGTTCTACCCGTATTTATCATATTTTTACTTCAGGGAAAAAGGTTGCGAGTAAGTTCATTGACAAATGGGAAACAAAATTGAGTATCAATTTCCCTGCCACTAAATGGTCGGTTTTCTGCAGTATGCCTTTTACGATTACTTGTGATACAAAATTACGATGGTTTCAATACAGATTGGTCCATAGAATCCTGGGCGTCAATTCTTATTTGGTAAAGATCGGTAAAGGGGAGAACGACTTGTGTTCCTTCTGTCATGTAGAAAAGGAAACTCTGATTCACTTATTTTGCACTTGTGAGATTTCTTTATCGTTCTGGACTCAAATTAGTGATTCGATTAAGGAGACTTTGAATATTAATGTGTTTGTAGATACTAGCAAAGTACATGTACACGTTTAATAATTTAAAAAAAATGCTACTTACAACGCTCTCATTTCGGACTTGGGATATCTGCATTGGATGTGCGTATTCACTGCGACAGGTTGATTGGATGAGCAGTTGCCCGATCCACCAAATAGTCTAGATGTCATGAGACCAAGACAGAAGCCAAAGATTACGTAAATCAGGGCTGATCGCTGGAATGGAGACATGGTATCTGATGGGGATGGAGACAAAATACGACGGTTGATTTATTAGCTTCCCATAGCCTATCAGTGTGGTATAGTCGACTATACGTTTGTCACTCATCACACGTTATCCACAGTCAAGTCAACATCACGAGCTATACTGGGCCATTATCGTTAGGTCCGAAGTACGATATTTGTCCTTTCCCCGTGAACTCTGAACTTCGTAATTTGCCATTCGTGTATCAGTAATTTTTTTTGTTAGGTAGGTAATTTTCTATTCGTTACAAACGACTGCATTAAGCAGAGAGCATTTTTAGATTGTGATATTACAGACCACAAACACTTCATAAATTGAAAGAGCACAGGGAAACTTGTCAGAAATTATTCACCAAAGCAAAATGTTTACATTTAAGCATGGAGGTTCAAGAGAGTTAAACGATAATGCTTTTAGTTCATAATTATTCTATGCAGACAACTTATGCACAATGCCAACACGTGCTTAACCTTTGCAATACACGTCAACGCGGATGATTCATTCTGTATGCGGCTACGCTGTATACAAATGAACAAAGCCTTGTTTTTTCAAACGCCAAGGCTAGCCTTGCATAAATTTCACAATGCAGATATCGATTGTATGCAATATCTGCATGTGCATCCGGATTCCGCAGTACAAGGTACAAGGGTCGGCCTCTTTGCCAAACCGTACATACAGCAAAGATAGTACAGGCTTTCAGTTCATTACATGATATTATTATACATGTACATGAATGTCAATTAACGCGCATGCAGTGGCGGCCCAACAAGGCTAGTAAAACTAAAAGGAACTCAAATTGTAGAATTGGTGCTTCGAAGGTACTGAACCGCCTCACACACACGACGTTTCAAACTAACGCACACGACGTTTGCCTGTCCGTTTTAGAACACCATACTGAGTAGTTGTTTGGGGATCCACATGGTTTAAGCAAAATCTCACCGGTAATGTGGAAATTCCGGGCTCAAAGTCAGAAGAAGGCGAGATGACTCCCGTAGACCGTGATTTGGCTAAGTGTGCCCGCATGCGCCATTACTGTATTGTGCGTTTCTACCATGTCAAAGTTCATTGACTTCATTCGTCCTAATGTGGCTTCAGAATCCATGCACTACACGGTGATGCCTCCTTCATAATTATAGAGCTAGCTAGCTATGTACTAGCTCTATGATAATTACGGAACGCCAAACGAACCAATTTATGATGTTACTTGATAAAAGTTATTTGATGATGTCGTAAATGTGTGGTGTAGTCAATCAACATTGTATTATTGTGATGTTGTCAATTTATTATGTGGTGTTGTGTGTGGTGTTGGTTTGTGTCTCTCATACCACATGATGGGTTGACGACATCACATGATGGGTTGACGACATGATGGGTTGACGACATCACATGATGGGTTGACTACATCACATGATGGGTTGACGACATGATGGGTTGACGACATCACATGATGGGTTGACTACATCACATGATGGGTTGACGACATGATGGGTTGACGACATCACATGATGGGTTGACTACATCACATGATGGGTTGACGACATGATGGGTTGACGACATCACATGATGGGTTGACTACATCACATGATGGGTTGACGACATCACATCACACTCCTTATTCACGAGTATATTCAGTGGATTGAGAGTGCGGTAAAATCTTTTTTTTTTTAATTTGTGTAGAGAAATGAAAGCAATGACGTTACAAATTAACACCAGTCTGCGTGCTGTGATGAATCATTTACAATGTTTGATTAAACATACTCTTACGTTTTAAACCACATTTAAAAAAAACCAAGTGAGGCTATAGTGAATAAGTAGTCTGGTACCATCCCATTCAACAGTTCACAATTAATGAAATACATTCAGGGAACATGACAAAAATGGCCAACTTGTGCATAAGGCCCTTAATGGATTGACATCACTTGATAGTGGATTAACGACATGACATAGATTGACAACATCACATAATAGATTGACAACATACATCACATAAAGATTGAAAACATCACATAGATTGACGACATCACATAATGGATTGACAACATCACATAATGGATTGACATCACTTGATAGTGGATTAACGACATGACATAGATTGACGACATCACATAATAGATTGACAACATACATCACATAAAGATTGACGACATCACATAGATTGACGACATCAAATAATGGATTGACAACATCACATGGACAACATTACATAATGGATTGACGACATCACATAGATTTATTGACGACATATTGACGACATATTAGATTGACTACAGCACATAATATATTGACAACATCACATAATAGATTGACATCACATAATCGATTGAGTGATTGGCGACATCACATAGATTGACGACATCACATAATAGATTAATAACATCACATGATGGATTGACGACATCACATAATGGATTGACATCACTTTGATAGTGGATTAACGACATCACAGATTGACATCACATAATGACTGACATCACATACTAGATCGACCTCTTCACATAGTGAATTGACATCACATAATAGATTGACAACATCACATAATAAATTGACATCACATGATGGATGATCACATAATAAATTGACAACATAACATAGATTGACATCACATCAGTGATTGACAACATAACATAGATTGACGACATCACATATTGACATATAGATTGACTATACATAGATTGACAACATCACATGATGGATTGACTACACCACAGAATGGATTGGCGACAAATAACTTGTATCCATTAACATCATAAATTGGCACGTTTGGCGTTCCGTACCTTCTGGCCTAGCCAGCGCTGCGGCGGCTGAGGCATCACCGGCACCGTACTGTGCATGGATTCAGAAGCCATAATTATTCGGGACTAATTAACCTTGACATAGTAGCTGCGCACATTATGGGGGCGCACTAAGCCCAATCATGGCAGCCGGTCTACGAGTCCCTGCTAAAGACCCAAATACTAACTGCATGCCCCCACTTCAGAAATTCAGGAAAAATACACACAACTCTCCAAGGCGTTCGAGACACACAACAAATTAGTTTGTTTCACAGTCGACTTTCATTTTCTTTTCAGTTTATTGCGGGTAATCTAATGACCTTTGCGAGAAATTTCCACCCGAAGATGATCACCCCTTAAAATAGTCCTGAAGCCCATCGCCATTTTGAAAAACGGTGCTACACTCCAAAGACTCCATTAAGTAAGATTTGAGGCTTTGCATGGTGGAGATACTAAATAATGAAAGGTTTGCGGAAACACCATGTGCGAATAATTTCTCAACTAAGAGAATGGTTCTGAAAAGAACCAGAGGTATAAACTCGACGTTCCGGTCAGTATGCTCTGACCGTCTTCAGTATGCTCTGACCGTCGGTCAGAGCATACTGACCGGAACGTCGAGTTCATACCTCTGGTTCTTTTCAGAACCATTCTCTTAGTTGAGAAATTATTCGCACATGGTGTTTCCGCAAACCTTTCAAAGACTCCATTGCAAAATAGAGCGCTTTTAGGGCCCCAATTTCATCCAAATTTCACAGACATACACGGTCCTGTGCACGGCTTCCACTTTTATTTTTTTATTTTTTTTTACAAACCCTCATGTTTACGGCCCACAAAAAAACGTGATTTTGGCCGGCGTCGGCAATTTCGGACCGATTTAAGGCATCCCTACGGCGCTATACGGGAGTCTAGCCTTCGTCCGACATTGAGCCCGGAATTTCCACATTTACCGGTGAGATTTGGGTTCAACCTAGTCCGAAAATTTGGGACTATCAATACTGTGTAATATGTATGAGATACCACCAGGCTAGTCGTCGCACAGCACATTCATCATCGTAGGCTAGGAAGTATGTCCACCTCACGCATGCACTACAGCAATTATTATAGCAAATGCTATCCTAAATATAGAGAGCTTGCTCAGAGCGCCTCCACTGTGCACAATGATGGATCAACTGTGTCTACCATGTCTGTGGTGTCTACCCACAGACCTGTCCAACGTGAGAGCGTTCAGTTTACGCGGCCCTCTATTGACTCATCAACTGTTTAATATAAAATGCGCAGGCTCATACGTACATATTCTGTTTGAACTGCAAATATTCTTTGAAGATCGATATGAACAGCGTGAAAATCGCCCTCTGCCTTGTACGTACGGCGTGGGCTTGAAAAGCTTCATCGAAGTCCACTGCTCTGCATGGGGATTACGCTAAACTGCTCATTGCTCTGGTAGTGGTAAGGTCAGGTAGCGCCAGTATCACAACTCCAGCAGTACCACTTATGATAATTTATGCTTACGTCACCACAAGTCAGGCACGTCAGGTCACAGGACGTAAAATTGCAGTATCAATGGCGATCAGTGGCGGAGCTCCGGGGAGCGGGAGGTTTCGCATCGAATGATCGGTCAACTTTCGGAATGTATTAAACTCGTGTTTGAGCAGAGCCAGCTGTGACAGACTAACTAGTGCAAACAATTACAATAGCATTCGGTTGTACCACGGAGGTAGAATTACTTGTACTTGGGCTAACTGATCTGTGACTTTGTCAAGTTTACTACGTGCTCGGCGGATACTATTTTACACAGTGTCGGCATTTTAGTCGATTTCAACGTGCGCTTAAAAAAATAATACGAATAGATAAGGGGAGCCTTCTTTTTGAAATGACCAATGTTAGATTAACCGGCTTGGGCAGATGATTCGGGTCCCATGCATATTCTTCCATGATTTATTTTTACATTTTAGCATTCAAAAAGTAGGTATGATTACTTTATCGTGAACGCTTGCATTAATTGTTATTTAGTTTGTTTATTTTTACTCTTTTCCTTTTGACACAACCATAGAGAAAGGACATACCGTATTTACATAAACCTTGTTAATATTCTAAAAAAAAGCTATTGAATAAAGAATTTATTTTGAATTAATGGATTTGAATCTGTATCAAAATCTTATTCATTAAAGACACACTCTCGGAAAAAATGGTTCGGATAACATTGTTAACTTATTTCTTATGATGGGACTGCGGTTTGGCCGAAGTCGATTGAGCGTGATCGGCTGACTGATAAGGTTTACGTACAAAACCCCAAGACAACGAGGTTTTTGTATAGAAAGCTGCTGGACCACATTTTGCGAGAGTGTGTCCGTAATGTTTCTGTCGTTGAAAAAAATCTCCGCGGTTTTCAATCATGATTACTTCCGTGTGCATCCGTGGACTGCGTAACGCCATAATAACCACAGAAATCCTTGGAGATGCTAATTATGATTTATCCTTTACCCTAGTGTATGGGATGGTTGACCTAGCATGTCTCAAGTCAAGATATTTTTCTCAGGGAATAATAGATGACCTGTGAAGCCATGCAGAAAAAGGTGTGTGTAATGATTTTTGTGCCAAAGAGGGTTGGTGGTTTTACCAAGAAAATTACCATACTTTTTTTTAATCGAGGAAAACCATAGGGGCCCACCATGCAAGCTTAAACGGTGCCTTAGGAGAAGTGCATTATGGTTGCAAACAACATCAGCTCTAAAACAATTGAAGTAGATGCAGTACCGCACCGATATTGGAGGAGGAGGAGGGGGTATCGAAGGTCGCCGTGTACGGCAATTATGGGCCGAGTCGTAACATTGTACATGTTACACCCCGTACAATTACATGTACGTACGGAACCCTTGACATGTATGGGTGACCGTGCTGCAGGCCTGCTAAAGGAGGACATGCACACGACGAGACGCGCGGACCGACGATGTACATAATTCATAAGTTTGATGACGCTGTACAGTTCACGGCATAAATTATGATAAGTGGTACTGCTGGAGTTGTGATACTGGCGCTACCGTAAGGTCAAGGCGGATGCAGATCTCCTGGCGCATAATGATTAGAGCGCCATCAAGAGGGCAAACAGAGATAACTGCTTCCATCAATCAAGACACTTTGTCGGCACTGAGGCCATAATGAGAGAAGCATTCGGTGTTTCAATTTCAATTATTTATTAATTTCAAAGTGTCTATACATGTACTCTTGACAAACACGGAGGAACAAAGGCACGCCCTCCGATGTGACGTCAGATGCATATACAACTAGATACATAGGCATTCTAAACAATATTTACATCAACATATAACAAGAAGGCTCTGCCATTGAAATTCATTAAACATGCTAGATGCCGAAATAAATCTAGATGAGCTTAATATACTCAGTTGCATTTATTCTTTCTCATTGTTGCGTGTCTTCTAAATTAAAATATCAAAAACCATTAATTTGAGTAGTCGAGCATGGACAATATGTTAGGATAAAAACTGCTTAATTGCTTTTTGCACTTAAATGTTAAACAAATTGATTAATTACACAGTTTAGTAATAATTGCTGGGTCAACAATTTCCAGCAATCAGTTACATGATTTTGCAGTCAAGTCACGGCTAGACGTAGAATTTGTTAGCTGCTTTTCGTTCAGTAAAAAAAAGGCGCGCCTGCGTACTGTGCCGAGGCGATGTCTTCCAATTATGATTGGCAGGCATTTTAAAATTTAAGTCAACGCTTTAGCATTATTTCTTTCCCAAGAAATTCTGGTGTGGATTCAGTTAATTCAGCGGCTCAGTATAACGTTACTTTGCTTAAATAAATCTGGGAACATGTACTATTTTTCCTAAGTTAAGCGATGATAAATACTGCATGTAAAGCAGATTACACCAACAAAATACCAACCACATAAAAATCACCAACAAAATACCCAAATTTTAAAAAAAAAAGGAGTGGGCTTTACTCATGCAATCGGGTTTCTATCAGATAGGCACACGATGGGGAACGTTACAATGAGTTCGTGTCGCAGTAGAAGGCACACACAAATGCAGAGTTTTAATGACTCGAGTCAATGACTCGACTCGAGTCCGACTCGAGTCAAAATTTTTGATGACTCGACTCGACTCGAGTCCCTGAGGGCAAGTGACTCGACTCGACTCGAGGAAGGCTAATAAGACTCGAGTCCCAAAAATAAAAGCACAACTTTGCGAAAAAACATTTGCAATGACTCACGCCGTTGCCGGTTTTTGTTCATGTCATGTTAGAATGTTCGCGAATAATGTAGGCCTATACATATGTATACATATACATACGTGGTTTGATCAGTGTCCCCATTAGTTGAATGGCGATCAGCTTGCATCCCCGTTGTATTTTCATTAAGAGTCAAATGTGGCGTCACCACATGAAGTAACCCGAATGTAAAATTAAAAAACCCACAAAATTACTTTCTCTCTTGTGTTTATTTATTGCACACTGTGACTCGACTCGACTCGACTCGACCTTCTTGACCTAATGACCCGACTCGAGTCACTTCTTTAAAATGACTCGAATCGACTCTAGTCACAAAAATCAGTGACTCGTTACAACTCTGCAAAAATGAAAACGAAAATCAGGCAGAAAACATTAATAAAAAGACTGGTTGTGACCACGATCCAGCTCACGCGTATTGTCTACATTCGGGGTTATTTTATGAGCTGCAGTCTTCAGTATTTACTTAAACGAGAACCAATGTGCACGAAAAAGTATCCCTCCTCAAATAAGGCGGCACTGTGGCCTGACGTCATACTCGGCACAAGATTCATTTTGAGGAAGTTCGATCAGGAACATTTGTTGACTAGTGTTTAATTCGTGCCGCATGGTGCGCATGCGGGCTAAACTTTAGTCCAACTTTGGTCAAGAGTCGCCATAAAAAACTCTCGGCCGTTCTTGATTCCCTGCTGCGCATTGTTATACAGACGGCTACTGATAACCAGCGATGCACAGAAATCTTAGTAAGTTGGTTGTTAGTACTGTACAATGCCAAGAATGTAGCCATCGATGGACTAGTCTTGGCCCAAGACGTCAGTGGATCGATCAGTGTGAGTAAAGAGCGAACTACTAACGTCCTGTAACAAGACTATAAACATGGCTTTAAAAAATCCTCCCATCCTAAAACTTGGATTACCGCGAATGAGAGACGCAGTCTTTTAAATCCACCAACTTGAAACCTGAGGTCTCAACTAAATAGTCCATCATGAAAACAGAGTTCATGTACGTGTCTGGCAGGTCCGAGTCCACAGTTAGGACGCCCCCAGTGTTCTTGGCCAAAGCATCGTGGATCTTGCGTAGTGCCTTTGGGACGCGCTCCACATCACGATTTTTGTAGTAGTTGTCCCAAGTTAATTCCCCAGGTGTACCTGAGAAATGCAGATATACAAGACATTAATGAAAAGCATATACAATGCAATAACTTAACCCCAAATTAGTCAACTGTGATACGTTGATATCACACTTGGAGAATTTGATATTAAATATTTTCGTGACCAAACCAAACCAATCCAACTGTGGTCCAACCCATCTACATGTGCATGGCACTCACTAAGAGCTATAGTCACTGAATGTTAGACCACTTTGCATTGTTTACATGGAGTCAGGTTGGGATGAGAGCCACCAAGCTCCCGTAAGATAAACAGGTAAACAAAGTATGACGTCATCCTGTCTCGGGACTATTCTTACCCTGTTTAGCAGGAAACTCCGCCACCGGTTTGATAACCCGCAGACCTCTGTTCTTGGCCTCATCGAGGATCGTCGTCGATGCATCTCCCTGCACTGTAGGTAGATAATAAGACGCTGTGATGCCTATCTCCTCCAAGCGCAGAATGGAGCTGATCAGACCCATGCGGACCCAAGCCCCGGGCATCAGCTCTAAGTGCCCCGGAGGATTGTGCCCATCCTCCCGTATGCCGATGTTGAAGTGCTCGCTCCAGGTTTTGACAGCCTCGGAGTTTCTCTGAACGAAGTCTCCGTACACGAACAGCGTGATGGGAACGTTATACTTGTGGGCTGCCAGTGTCTCTACCACTCTCCGCGCACGTTTGTAGTTCATGCCCACAGCGACTGTTAAAGTCACAGAGCCACTGGCGCAATTCGTATAAACCTTTCCAGCCTCGCCAGGGGTGCCAGCAGGTACCTTTTATAAAATAAAATAAAACAAATGTCCAATAATGTAAACATTCTTGGCGACATTCGTCATGTTTCATAGTCATCTGAACTCATCCATATGAAAGCCCCAATGGCAATCATTAGACGAGTATAAGTCGCAAGTGACAGTCTTGTCACAAGATAAGATACCCAGTCTAATTCACAAGACTTGACATCGACAGACATTCAGTCAGCGAGTCAGTCCCGTGATGAACTGAGGCCGGCCCCCTGAAACAAGCAAAAAAGCGCAAGTTTTAGAATACACTGAGACTGCACTTTCTATTATACCTTGATTGGGTTCATCTTTTCGATATCCGAGTATTTTCTTCTCTCCCCGACCCAGTCAATCATGCTGAAGCCAGCCTTCTTGATGTCCGTTCGTATTTGGGCTTTGTCAGCCTTGGACCAGCCCGTCGGTTGCCAGTCGTGATATTCACCGTAGAATCTGTTGAATTCGAAGTTGGGAAGTTAAACAAAAGTAGTCTTCATTCAAACAAACCACAACCAACTTATCTCGTGGCCTCAGCTGTACAGATAGCCTGGGCGCTCCAAAACTCTTAGAAGTCATTAAAACAAAGATAGATTCTTACTTATCGATGTAAGCCATCACGTTGTTGTCAATCATCTTCCTCAGAATTGCATATTCGGCGCCCTCAACGTCCAGCTTGAAGATGATGTAATCATCTTTGGAGAAATTATCCACAATCCACTGCGAGAGGTCAATGACTGGTATTGTCTTCCGATAGGATAATTGACGATACCCACCTATGGAAGAGCATATTTCAAAGAATGTGAATGTACTTTCTCATTTCGAAAGAATGAAACTAGTGGCTAGACGATTCGGAGCGAAATCATTCGGAAGACAAGCTCTCGTAAGAAAGCGCACATGTAAATAAAGTGTGTGACGTCAATATTTCTCAGATATTTTAGGACAAACCTGTTTTTTCATTTTGCTTTTCTTTACTTGACACGAACAACGAACCGCCGCCCCACTGCATGTCAGCGCCGTGGTTAAGACCTTTACTGGGTGACCAGACCATCTCCGAATAGGCCGTCAAGTTTCCTGCAAGAAAAATTATACGTGGACTTAGATAGTTTCTCCCAGTCATTGTTTCAGTTAGGGGCAACTTTCGAGAGAAAAAAAACCGAAGCCATATTCGTAGATTCCAATCGGTTCGATTGAGACCCCTTCAATGGAAGAACTACTGTGCATGTTATTGTACAACGCAACTACCCTGTGATGGATTATCTGAACAATAGCTAGCACAATGCTTTCGCCATTGAAGGGGGCTTTCGTGATAGAATTGATAGCGTGCCCGGATTGAATTATGTCCCAAAAAAGTGTCCGTCTGACTATTTCTGAAACAACTACAAAACCATGAGGGCAATTTTGTAATTATTAGTTAATAGTACATGCGTTGACCTCAACCCCTATGAGTTTCATTTAATTTCAGTCACACATCACTACACAATTATCAATTGACCAAAACAACATTTTTGGACACTGTCACCAAGTTCCTTGCCTTATTCAATTTTAGTGCTGTGTTAAGTAAGCTGTCTAAAATCCTTTATGTTGTGAAAAGGGCTGCAGTTGGGATTGGAATCATTTGCCTGGCTATCAGTCATCATGGCAAGACCTCAGGTTAATGCTCAAGGGCAAATGATTCCAATCCCAAACCACATCAGCCTTTCCTTCACAACATGCAGGATTTTCCAAAGCTTACATAATACAGCACTGAAATTGAATACGGCAAGGAAATTGGTCACAGTGTCCAAAAATATTGTTGTGATCAACTGACCACTCTGCAATGATGCGTGACTGAAATTAAATGAAACTCATAGGGGTTGAGGCCAAGGCTTAGGAGTATAATGCACAACCAAACATTTTCAAAATTGACCTTATGATTTTGTAGTTATTTTAAAAACAGTCAGACGGACACTTTTTGGGGGACAAACTTTACATGTACTGTAAACTGCATCCAAACGACCAAAAACATGGAAAGAAAAAACTCAAACTCTCAAACTTGTTTGTTAGAATTAAGCAGATTTAGCGCCACTAACCATTTTGGCCTGCAACGCCGACGGGACAGTGTAAATGATGATTGTCGTACGGTTTGAAGTACGGTGACAGACGATCATCAATTTCAAAGGAATGGATGATATAATCTTGTCCCCCTGGGTACGTCTCACGAAACAGCAGCACAGTGGATGCCACGTTGCCTCCGCAGTCAAGCAGTATCTTCCTCGGTGTTCGACGTGCGTTCGCCTCGGGTTCGGACACTTCGGCTTTGTGCTCCGACACTTCGGGTTTAACCTCAGGTTCTTCGGGTTTTCGTTCGGGGACCTCGGGTTTAACGCTGTTTATTGAGTCTGAGTTGTTCGGCGGGAGATTCGGATTTGAATCTAGCTTTGCGATCTCACCAACAGTTCTAGTATGCAAGTAACAATATCGCAGAAGTTGATACATGTACATGTTTTGATTAAATATTTTTTTCACAGATCTTTCGGTTATTTTTTTTAAGGCTGGTTTCTGTCTTCACACTCCAATTGATTTTACACTTTTCGTGAGTCCGCGGCCCTTTTGAGGAGCTGACGAGCACGATAATTAATAGTAGATACACTAACCAGTTAAAAAGATTGCAACATAAATTACTTAACAGTATTTTTGTTGAGCAGTGGCGCACCCAGGATTTGTGGGTTTTTTTGTTTGGTTTTTTTTTTTGGGGGGGAGGGGGCTCACTGGGTTTTTTTTATTTAGGGAGGCGGACTATTTTGACGTTGGTGGCGCCACTTACCCCCTATTGCACCATTTACACTACTGTTATACTACTCGAAACATACATATCACCAAGGTAAAATCGTGGGACAAAAAAATACTTTAAAAAAGTGACCTCTTGGGGGTTCAAGCCCCCCGAGGCCCCCCCCCCCGGGTGCGCCACTGTCGTTGAGCAGTTTACAAACATGGCTGCTGCACACGCTAATTGGCCAATAGGGCCTTGAAGCAACTGATCCACCATTAAGGATCCCCAAAACATCACGTTCTTGGCTACGACAGTTAACTTTTTTTGTTGGTTTCTACTAAAAACAATATCATCTAATTACAATTTGTTAATTAGATATTGGGGAAAGCCGGACAAAAAAGGAGTTATTTTCAGCGCCTAAAATCCAATACCAACTACCAGCAAAAACAATCTCGAAGTGATCTCGGAAGCCGCGGGCCAATGCATGCGTGTTCATTCATGTGTGACGTGATTGTGCCATGTAATTTGTGGAAGGAGTAGTGTTTTCAGTATAAACATCAGGTTATTTTACGCTAGTGATCCAATTTTCTAGGACTGCATGAATTGGTCAGTGGAGGCCTATTGAGGGCCTGAAGGACAAGGTGATTGACAGCATTGCCATGCTGTTGCTGACGTTTGTTACCAACTAACCAACCAACCAACTAACGGAGAGGCATAAACAGTCGAGCTGCTTTCCGCAACTACAAAATTAATGCTCGCGTTTACTGCGCGTGCGTCCTAAGTGACCCAATATGGCAGACCCTGCTTCACCAATGCAGGGGCACTGTTAGCCATAGGTGCATGTATTTGGAGGTAGAGCGTGAAAAGTAGCCAATTTCAGGTAATACAGGTAAAAATAAAACCATACTCACAGCGCCCTCACTTCGGAGTCGGGGTACTTGCATTCGATGTGCGTATTCGATACGACAGGTTGATTGCATCCACCTAAGTAACTGATCGATCCACCAAATAGTGTAGATGTCATGAGACCGAGACAGAAGCCAAAGATTACGTAAATCACGGCTGACCGCTGAAATGGAGCCATGGTATCTGATGGGGGAAAGATACAAAATACGACGGTTGATGGACGATAGCTTCCCGGTCGGGCGTATCAGTGTACGTGGTATGGGTCTTATGCACGAGTTGGCCATTTTTGTCGAGTTCCCTGAACGTTTTTCACTAATTGTTAACTATTGTATGAGATGGTGCCAGACTATTTACGCAGGCATAATAATGCAGCCTCATTTTATTGTCATTCTTTTTTTAATATGGCTTTAATTATTAGTGAATGTTTAATTACAAATTTTAAATTATTCATTGAAGCAGACTGGAATCAATTAGTAATTAACTTGCTTCCATTTCTTTTCGTAAGTTCCAAAAATTTGGATTTTACCTCTTTTTCAGTTCAATATGGCCGACTCGTGCATAAGGCCCACAATCGACTCCACCCTATAAGCCCACAGTTAAGTCAACATATCACAAGCTATATGGGTCGTTCTATAATGTACGGTCCAAAGTACAACTTTTTTTCCTATCCACGTGACCTCTGACCTTTGTAGTTTGCCATTCAAGTATCAGTAGGACGTCAAACTATTTTTTTTTAGTTGTGAGGTAGTTTGCTATTCATAATCACTCCTTGAGGACGACTGCATTTAAGAAGTGCATCAGAAGATCACAGATGTCAGATGTGACAAGGACTGGAAAAAATGTACTCAAATATATTTATATGCCTATCTAAATGAACTTTGACCTCATTGCATATTCACCGACTGTTAATTGAGACAGGACATGTCATGTACTCCACTGCACCGCTACCAAGTTTTGGAATTTGAAAAACTAGCTCGAAAGACGAAGTCGTGAGGTCGTGCAAATGATGCTTTTTGGTCCCAAATTATCGGAGGGCATGATTTTGAGATTACCTAATCTAATGCGCCTCTGGTAATAGGCTATCTAGCACACACAGGAATCGCCAAACAAAAATACAGTTTGTGTCTATTAAACCGGCCCAAATGTCAACACTGCACGATGCCTTCTAAAATTGCAAAGCCCACAAAAAAAACCGGTTCACGGCATCAATATAACCCACAGCAAACATCAGCAATGCATATAACACAATACAAACCGGGTGTCCGGGTCATGTTATCTATCTTCGTTACCAACGGAGCGATAAAACATATCGTGATTAACTTGTCAAACAGATTATGCACAAAAGCAAAAGGCTTACGTCTCATAACATTTACCACTCCAGAGAGTTTTACACTAGCGATGGCTTTAAGCATGTTGTTATCGAGACCAATTCCAACAATTTAAACATTTGCAATACACGTCAACACAGACACGTCATCAGTGCCTGAAGGCTGCACAACAAAAACTCGTTTCACACGCCAACACAGATAGTGTCATTATCTTCCGGTGCCTCACTTAATTGATTCCACGGTACAAACGTACCATACAAAGACAAAGACTTGACCATTATAGCTTACAACTACGTGACAATAATACATGATAAACCACGGGCATTATGACTAATATGAGACCCACAAAATGGGAATGGGAACGAACGCAAAAATGTTGAAGTTTGTGGGTGCATGATCGGACTTTTACTGGCCCCGGCCGGTTTATATAAAATAACAAAATCCACTTTTAACTAATTTGACTTACCAAACTACTTGGCGACATTGAGAACATGCAGGTACGTCATAGACAGAGGGCAGGGTTTTGAATTTTTGAGGGAAATTTGGGTGTAAAATGACGATGACGACAAAACGCAACACGAAAATAAAGATGGCAATCACCCGTGAATGTACCGTGAACGCGCAAGGCGTGCTGAATCGCCACACCAACCGTAAACCGCGCGTAAAAATCGTAATTTCTAACCCCCCCCCCAAAAAAAAAATGTTCAAAATTACAAAAAAAGTGTCGTTAGAATTGAGAGAATTCTGCATTAGGTTGAAAAGGTCATTTTTGAATGATAAAGAAAACACCCTTGACTCTAATTTGGTCGAAACTATAAAAGAGGGGACCGTAACAATAAAACGAACGTCATTTTGTGCTTCGAGGGCATACTACTAAAATCCTTTTCTCCTAAATTAATTTTTTTTAAATGGCATATTTTGGAGAGAAAAGAAAGGATTTCGTTCGAACGCCATGACAACAACTTAATCGCGCTGTGGTCCAAGCATAATTTGAAGGTACACTGCAAAAACTGTAGTGTTAATTTAACACCATTCGGTATCTATATAGGACAACACCAGTAATATTTAACACCAGATGGTCCTATATAGATACCAATGGTGTAAATTTAACACTCCAGTTTTTGCAGTGTAAAAAAATACAGGATATAAGAAAACCATGCAATCAAACCAACACAGAATGAAATAACAGTTGTTTGTTAAAGTCAACAACAAAAATACCCGGTAATTTCGCATGGAAATAACATTTCGCATGGAAATAACTATGCTATAAAAAAAGTTTTAGAAAAATTAGCACATAGGCCTATCTGCCTAAGGCGCGCCTATAAGCGCATCATTATTCACAGCATATGGCGTGCAATGACCATCCGGAATGGACCTGTACAGTTATTTTGGTCTGGCCTTGAAATATGCTAATGTACTGGACAAGGGGGTTTCATATTTTTGAGGGGAAATTGCATTAATACACATGTATATGGCAATGAAACATGTACATAATACATACACAAACCTCCCGCATAAGACTGAAGCGTGTGATAGTGGCACATACTTACACGTTGCATGGATTGTAGAATACTTGCTTTTCACGGAGCAAGTAGGCCTACACAGTGATAGTATAATTCAAGCATGTGTACATGTACATGCTGCAGGAATCATTCCTCGATCCATGCTGCCAAGCAATTACATACATTCACAAAGAATACGATCTATGGTTAAGCAAAGAGCAATGACTCACCTCAGACTAGACGCAGTATATAGTATGCAGTTCCTTGTGAAGTCGTAGGTCAAATCCAATCTTAATTTGCATCTGTCGAAGTGGGCGAGACACATAAGCTACAATCGTTCACAATGGACAAAAATAATACGTGTACACGTGTAGGTTTATACGTGCGCTACACATTCAGCACCAACCCGCATAGTGGTTGTATAGTCGCTGGTTCCGTCCATTCTTGCAATATAAAAAGCATTGTACTGGCCCTTCCGCCAGTGACGTCGTGCCAATGGGCATAAGGCCTGCACCCTGAATTCCCGTGGACATGATGCGTAAAATGCCACAACAAAAAGTCTTTAAAAATAAAATTACTCAGAACTCTCATGCACTAGTGGGGTTTATGCCGCATAGAAATGAATGATGATCAACATGTCATTTTTCATTTCAAGTTTTGGTGGGTTGACCATTGACTTTTCGAGAAATTCTCACCCAAAGAAGACGACCCCTAGTGAGGTTTCTCAAAGCGGAAAATGATCTTGATGAAAACGATCCCTTCAATCCCTTCATATTATGGTTTAATAGCGCCACTTTCGTGCCCAATTGCATCCAAACTGCGGCTCAGTATTGGAAGCCCAATTGCCCAATTCTGTTGCTCTCAGAACTCTCTTATAATTAAATAGAATAATAATGTATAACTTTTCTTTATGAGCTCGGAGGATGGATTTTTTAAAACCTATTTACACAGTTGTATACCCATCAGCTCCTGATGGAGTATGTTTCTCGCACATTACTTCTAAACCACCGATAATAAATAATTTGCTTGAAGTCGGAATAACTAGACCATTTAATGGGTCATAATGAATAAAACTAGCAAATGTTAGGAAGTATATGCAAGCAAAATGTATTAAAGCATTTACTTTGGAGTAAAAGCATTAAGGAAAAGCCGATGCTTAGACCACGAATAATACATTTCTTTGTGTTCAGCATTCACTACCGCAGTAAAGGAGCAAATGCTTCTTACTTTGGATTTGTGCACGGACGAATGGTTGTCAACAATACTGTGTCGTTTGTGTGTATCTGGCACTGCGTGTCATCCGAAGGGGATGATGTAAGAATGCTGCTGCAGACAATTTCGCCAGTTGCAGAATGCAGACAGTAAACCTTTATGAACATTGTAAAGCTCCACCGTGTCCTGTATACGAAGTCACAGTTGCATACAAATAGGCCTAGTACTGTGTTACATAATTGCCTTTATTTAAAAAACCGGTGAACCAAATCCGATGGAAGTTTAATTACAGAAAATAGTACATTAAATATGCTTCACAATTTAATAGGTATGTCACAAAAGTAGAACTAACATTTCATTTTTTTTCTCGAATTCTGTATGCTATTTAACCCTGAGAGGACCATTGGGACACCATTTATAATAGGCTACTCTTGGCGCCTGGTCGAGGTCGCTTAACATGGTCGGGAGGGATTATATAGCTAACGTTAAAAAGGCGCATTATTGATACAGGTAGATTAAATCCGCACAATACTCTTGCGGTGATAACTGCGGATCTTGGTTCTTGTTGGTTCATACTCCGCGTGGGAGTTTATACAGGAGACCAGAAACACCGGGGCAAACCCCTTCTCTTAGCGATAAGTGTCACTGGGTTCTTTTACGTGCATCATGGATTACACAACACACGGGACCTACGGCTTCACGTCCCATCTGAAGGACGAAGCAATAATGGTTAAGTGCCTTGCTCAAGGGCACAAGTGTCCACCCGGCGGGCTCGAACCCACACCACTGTTGCCTCTGAAACACCAGAGCATGAGTCGGGTATTCTTAACCATTAGGCCATGACACTAGTTATCTATGGGGTAGGGGAATGGGGGATCCACTTAAAACAGAAATGGTCAAGTTGTGTGTATATATATTAACGTCAACAATTCTACTTTTTGTTTAACTGTTTAAACTGAAGTCCAAAAACTTTGAAATGAAGGTGCCGTGTGAAAATCAGCCGCGGATTGGTTCATGAAAAGACTAACTAAATGACTAACCATCTTACAATCCGTTCAATCTGTCATCTGCAATTTACATGAACTCATTGAATGAACACATCAGCATGCGACGTTTGAGCAAAACGGTATGCACTCATAATCCTTGTTGGTAATCTGCACGTCAGTTAGTTGAGTATCACCTGTCATCCACGGAGCATACAAGTCTCCCGAATTAATCAGCGAATCTGTTTATATGTATTAGACCGTGGCGAAATAGACCACGTCAGCTGTGCACAAATCGATCTGTGGGGAAAAAACACAACATTGCATTTATTGTTCGAGTTGAAAGGAAGATTAAATTTTGAAACTTTTGCAAACTATATTGTCTGCAAATCGATTTTATTCCGTTGTGGCAGAACCAGATGTTCCGTTGCCAATTATGGCGCTGGGGGGTGGGGGGGGGAGGGGGGGGGGTGGGGGGTCGGGGGGGGGGGGCTGGAACATTTCATGGGGGCGTCAAGTAGATCAATGATAATTTTTTTAGAAACTCAAAATCTCAGGGGGGGGGGCGACTGGGGGGGCGACAAGGTTTCATGAGGGGGGGGGGCTGTCGCCCCCCCCCCGCCCCCCCCCGTGGCTACGCCACTGACTTTCAGGCTCTGTAAAAAATTCGCTCGTACCCCCGCCCTGCAAACAGGACGCTGGGATACTCTGATGAATTCACGCTCTGATTGGTTGGATTTTGCGTGACCAGTGACATGCGCGTCATCAAGGTTATGACTCTGCAAGGTTTGAAACGGCCGTTAAGACTGATTCATTACTCTTTTATTCCAGTTAAGAGATGTTTTTTCTCGTTGAAAAGCGTAATAATGTAGGAATAGAGCGCGTTAAGGGCCCCAATTTCATCCAAATTGAACGGAACTACAAGCTCACAGTCCTGTGCACGGCTTCCACCCATATTTTTTACAAACCCTCAAGTTCATGGCCCACAGCATGCTCAAATACTGAAGATTTTGAGGGCATGCAAATCATGATTTGGCCGGCGTAGGCAATTTCGGAGCGATTTACTGGTCTGCAACCATAGTATTCCAGCGTCCTGTTTGCAGGGCGGGGGTACGAGCGAATGTACAAAATATTTTGCCCAAATCAAACAGCGCCCTCCTGGTTTTTGCCGCCAGCATTTGGAACCATTCCTTGTGTTGGAAATAAAAATCATCAAAAACTGTCTTCAAACCGTTTTTGGCTTCTCTCGATCTCCACTTTCAGAAACGTTCTGTAGTCAATGACTATTGATTTTGAGCAATTGAGGGCGCTATTAAAGCTCCTCTTTGCAGATTTGGGGATGAAATTGAAGAAAAAAAGCTAAATTTAAAAATAAGGAAAGAAAACAGCCCCTTAAAAATTAGTTACCTTAAAAATAAATAAAACTACTCCCGCTGCCTTAATACACTTTATAATCTCCTTGGTCAAATTGACTCGAAATCTGAATCCAAATTTGCTCAGTCCTTTTCGGGGTAAAAAATGACGTTTTTATGACCTCCAAAAATGTCATTTTTTTTACCCAGCAAAATGTCAAATTTGGATTCAGAGTCTGGGTCAATATGACCCAGGACTATTAGGCGAGGGTGTATTTCCCATCCTTCCCTGCAGTGTATGTTACTTAAAGTTATATAAAAGTCCGCTCAACGTTATTGATCAACACCACTCGTGTTATTGATTATCGATATTCAAAACACTTGGCTCTTCCATCGACAACACGGAAAACCATGCCTACTCGCAAAGTGACACAAAACACGGGCGCATAGTACGTGATCTGTTATAGGCGATCAGACCTATATAACTGGACGAAGATCGATAAAATAGCGGCCCACTTTCAGCAGACAATACACAGTGCCATCTTTGTGGGTACATTACTGCCTTCTTGGTCTGAGGACCGGCAAGTCGTCAACTTCGACTGGCTACAAATAGATGCGATTCAAAGTCTCCATGAAATGTAGGCCTCTCCAAGAAAATTAGGTGTTCCTGGGAATAGTGTACCAAAGACTTGGATATTACGTTTTGCAAGTTTTCGATTAATGGCAGCAATGAATGGGTATATCATGCGTCTTCTTGTATCGGTGAGTGTATAGTTTGCTCTGCGCTGACGCAGTTGGTTTGGCCAAAGCATTACGTACCAAAACATTTGTACATGTTACTCCTCATAGTTTTGTTTAATTCGGTTCAATTCTACTACTTAGTGTTTTACTTTTTCTTATCTATTCTTATGATAATTGCACATTATTCATTAAATACCTTCAGAGATTGTCAGAAATTGTCACAAGACTGCCGTCATTTTGTTTAAACTTCAACAACTGTTGATCCTTGCGTTAGTTGGACTTGCCTGTGATTTTGTTTCAAATGTTCTCATACCTACAGATTCTGTGCCTCCAGACTGTCCGATCGCAAGGTAAAATTCTGACTTATCAATATAACTCACTTGTCCCAAGGTTGTACATAAAGGAGATGGTACACTTTTTGTGTACTGTATCCACTTTTCCCACAAGAAAGAATATACAATTTCGATATTGAATAACAAGTATTTTCATTTATTAAAACTAAAAGTCTGGAACGTGCATTAAGCTGCAGCACTATATACCAAAGTATACACCGACAATGATTTCTGAACCTTCAGCAAAACGAATATAAAATCGTCACAGGGACATTGCCCACAAAATTATTGTTCGTGCAACTCGCTTAATTAAGCAGCCCGTAAAACTTGAGAATGAATCAGGCGAAACGCATTTTTCTCAAGAAAAAGATGTATCAGAAAAATAATACTCACATTATTATGTCGGATAGAAATCTATTATTCAGGTGCTTGCTAGCCAGTGTAAGTATTTTTGTTGTGTTTGTAAAATTCGGATGTCACGAAAAGTTTAAGAGTTTGTCAGAATCTTGCATCGCACCACCGGCACTGAGGTCTTGCACGCATAATTATGGCGCTACAAGAAATCGACTGATAAAATTACCATCCACTAACTCAGCAAATCAGCTAGCGAATGATTACAGGGTGAGTCAAAAAAACCGTAACCCAAACCCCAAAATGTATTTCATATTAAAAAAATATTTAGCACCAAAACTAATAAATGAATGACTGAAAGCCAATTTCAGAAACTACTTTTAGATGAAAAATTTACTGAAATTGCCCAATCTGTTCAAACAATATAACCATTTTAACGCAATGACCCTAAAAACCTGTTTCGTCCCAAAAAAACCTGCAATTTATTGTGTGTTCTGACTGTTTTGAGCAACAAAGAAAATGACACGGAATACTTGTTTCAACAAATGTCACCAACTGTAGTACACAATATCTTTATTAACAACCCTACTTAGGCAAACAATATGACATATAAAATCCACTTTTTTTTCAAAAGACGGGCCTTCAAAACAACTTTGTTGAATATTTTTAACTTTTAAACTGATGTTTTATCGCTGGTGATGATTGAAGACAATTGTGACGACGCTTCTTGAAATCGCATTTTGGACGAAAGCCAGTTTTTGTGTTTAAATGGTGACATACCTTAAACGGATTAAGCAATTTAAGTATTTTTTCATCTATAAATAGTTTATAAAATTGGCTTTCCAGTCATTATTTTTGGTGCTACAATTTTTTTTAAATATGACAATTTTTTTTTGGAGGTTTGGGTTCTGCTTTTTTTTTTTTACTCACCCTGTATGTGCAATGCATGAAAAAAAAAACATTCGGGGCAAAACTTCAAAATAAAGCACGATCAGTGCATCTTTTATGTCCTCCAAGATCTCACTTCGCAAAGTAAAATCAATATCAAGGTACTGTGCAGCTGCACTTAGAAACGTAATCTATGTGGAGTCATTAAAATTTAATGAAGTCCTTAACAAATAAGCAGCTGCAGCGCAGTGTTATGCTGACATCGATTTGCTAAATGTTTTCTACTTTCAAGGCTCTTTGGGTTGTTGCAATGTACTGCGGGGTCTTTTTTAAGTTACAACCCGAATATATGATGAGGTTTTTTACTTTTTTTCTAGCGATTCAAAAGTAACACTGAGTTTTGATTAAGACATCAACCGAAAAAAGGTTCGTTTAGTTATGGAATAATTACTTTACAAATACAACTTTCAAACAATTTGCGGCCCGACAACAATTCGCACAGGGTAGTCTGGTTCCCACCCGTCTTTTGCAATTGTCTGCGGGACCGGGAACTTTTCGCTGTGTTGTGCACAAATGCAACCCAAAATAAAAGCTGTTTATTGGGGTGCAGACTTCCAAATTTTGGAACATTGTTAATAAACAAGTACTATCAAAATTTGTTGTTTGGAAAACAAATGTAATTTGTTGAAAACATGCATGGACAGTCATCTTCAAAAAATGAACAATGTTATTTTTTTTTTACCGTGTTTTGGAGTAGTCACCAGCCCGTACCCGACCACAAACATCGCCGGTTTGTCTGACGCACCAGTCTCGCCATCAGTCGGCCCATCGGCTGCTCAACCCGAAGTGACGACCATCGATGGCAGATTCACGCTGTTCAGCCCAAGCGCGTCTGCAAACCCGTCTGGAGGTAAGTCTGGTCGATTTCTCGTCCGACTGGACTACTCTATGGCAATTTACACACAGAAACAAACTTGGGCAACATTTCTTGCTTATGTCCCATTTTCTCCACGAGTATTTGGTGTACAGACTTCAAACTTGTTTGACGTTGTAGCCTGACTAACTAGCTCTCCATAAATGTCAAAAATATTAGGAATTTTTCATCACAAGATACCGTCAAGACGAGATATATCAAGTAAACACACCACGGAGTGAATCCTGCTGACAGACTACTCTAAGGCAATTTACACAGAGAAACAAACTCGGGCAAAATATTCTTGCTTATGTCCCTTTTTCTCCACGAGTATTGGGTGTACAGACTTCAAACTTGTTGGCCCTTGTAGCCTGACTAACTAGCTCTCCATACATGTCAAAAAAATTAGGAATTTTTCATAACAAGATACCCTCAAGACGAGATATAGCAAGAAAACACACCACGGAGTGAAGCCCGCTGACATCCTACTGTATGGCAATTTACACACAAAAACAAACTCGGGCAAAATATTCTTGCTTATTTCCAATTTTCTCCACGAGTATTGGGTGTACAGGCTTCAAACTTGTTGGACGTTGTAGCCAGACTAACTAGCTCTCCATACATGTCAAAAAAATTAGGAATTTTTTATAACAAGATAACCTCAAGACGAGATATAGCAAGAAAACACACCACGGAGTGAATCCCGCTGATAGCCTACTCTATGGCAATTTACGAACAGAAACAAACTCGGGCAAAATTTTCTTGCTTATGTCCCATTTTCTCCAGGAGTACTGGGTCTACGGACTTCAAACTTGTTGGACGTTGTAGCCAAACTAACTAGCTATCCATACATGTAAAAAAAAATAGGAATTTTTTATAAAAAGATACCCTCAAGACGAGATATAGCAAGAAAACACACCACAGAGTGAAGCCCGCTGACATCCTACTCTATGGCAATTTACGCACAGAAACAAACTCGGGCAAAATGTTCTTGCTGATGTCCCATTTTCTCCACGAGTATTGGGTCTACGGACTTCAAACTTGTTGGACGTTGTAGCCAGACTAACTAGCTCACCATACATGTCAAATAAATCAGGATTTTTTTATAACAAGATACCGTCAAGACGAGATATATCAAAGGATAGCCCGCTGACAGCCTTCTCCATAGCAAGTTGCACACAGAAACAAACTCGGGCAAAATATTCTTGCTTATGTCCCATTTTCTCCACGAGTATTGGGTCTATAGACTTCAAACTTGTTGGACGTTGTAGCCTGACTAACTAGCTCTCCATACATGTCAAAAAAATTAGGAATTGTTTATAACAAGTTACCCTTAATTCGAGATATAGCAAGTAAACACACCACAGAGTGAAGTCCGCTGACAGCCTACTCTATGGCAATTTACACACAGAAACAAACTCGGCCAAAATATTCTTGTTTATGTCCCATTTTCTCCACGAGTATTGGGTCTACAGACTTCAAACTTGTTGGACGTTGTAGCCAGACTAACTAGCTCTCCATACATGTCAAAAAAATTAGGAATTGTTCATAACAAGATACCCTTAATACGAGATATAGCAAGTAAACACACCACAGAGTGAAGCCCGCTGACAGCCTACTCTATGGCAATTTACAAAGAGAAACAAGCTTGAGCAAAATATTCTTGCTTATGTCCCTTTTTCTCCACGAGTATTGGGTCTACAGACTTTAAACTTGTTGGACGTTGTAGCCAGACTAACTAGCTCTCCATACATGTCAAAAAAATTAGGAATTTTTCATAACAAGATACCCTCAAGACGAGATATAGCAAGAAAACAAACCACGGAGTGAAGCCCGCTGACAGCCTACTCTATGGCAATTTACGCACAGAAACAAACTCGGGCAAAATTTTCTTGCTTATGTCACATTTTCTCCACCAGTATTGGGTCTACGGACTTCAAACTTGTTGGACGATGTAGCCAGACTAACTAGCTCTCCATACATGTCAAATAAATCAGGATTTTTTCATAACAAGATACCGTCAAGACGAGATATATCAAGTAAACACACCATAGAGTGAAGCCCGCTGACAGCCTACTCTATGGCAATTTACACAGAGAAACAAACTCGGCCAAAATATTCTTGTTGATGTCCCATTTTCTCCACGAGTAATGGGTCTACAGACTTCAAACTTGTTGGACGTTGTAGCCAGACTAACTAGCTCTCCATACATGTCAAAAAAAATTAGGAATTGTTCATAACAAGATACCCTTAATACGAGATATAGCAAGTAAACACACCACAGAGTGAAGCCCGCTGACAGCCTACTCTATGGCAATTTACAAAGAGAAACAAGCTTGAGCAAAATATTCTTGCTTATGTCCCTTTTTCTCCACGAGTATTGGGTCTACAGACTTTAAACTTGTTGGACGTTGTAGCCAGACTAACTAGCTCTCCATACATGTCAAAAAAATTAGGAATTTTTTATAACAAGATACCCTCAAGACGAGATATAGCAAGAAAACAAACCACGGAGTGAAGCCCGCTGACAGCCTACTCTATGGCAATTTACGCACAGAAACAAACTCGGGCAAAATTTTCTTGCTTATGTCACATTTTCTCCACCAGTATTGGGTCTACGGACTTCAAACTTGTTGGACGATGTAGCCAGACTAACTAGCTCTCCATACATGTCAAATAAATCAGGATTTTTTCATAACAAGATACCGTCAAGACGAGATATATCAAGTAAACACACCATAGAGTGAAGCCCGCTGACAGCCTACTCTATGGCAATTTACACAGAGAAACAAACTCGGCCAAAATATTCTTGTTGATGTCCCATTTTCTCCACGAGTATTGGGTCTACAGACTTCAAACTTGTATGACGTTGTAGCCAGACTAACTAGCTCTCCATACATGTCAAATAAATCAGGATTTTTTCATAACAAGATACCGTCAAGACGAGATATATCAAGTAAACACACCATAGAGTGAAGCCCGCTGACAGCCTACTCTATGGCAATTTACACAGAAAAACAAACTCGGCCAAAATATTCTTGTTTATGTCCCTTTTTCTCCACGAGTATTGGGTCTACAGACTTCAAACTTGTTGGACGTTGTAGCCAGACTAACTAGCTCTCCATACATATCAAAAAAATTAGGAATTTTTTATAACAAGATAACCTCAAGACGAGATATAGCAAGAAAACACACCACGGAGTGAATCCCTCTGACAGCCTACTCTATGGCAATTTACACACAGAAACAAACTCGGCCAAAATATTCTTGTTTATGTCCCATTTTCTCCACGATTATTGGGTCTACAGACTTCAAACTTGTTGGACGTTGTAGCCAGACTAACTAGCTCTCCATACATGTCAAAAAAATTAGGAATTGTTCATAACAAGTTACCCTTAATACGAGATATAGCAAGTAAACACACCACAGAGTGAAGCCCGCTGACAGCCTACTCTATGGCAATTTACACAGAGAAACAAGCTTGGGCAAAATATTCTTGCTTATGTCCCATTTTCTCCAAGAGTATTGGGTCTACGGACTTCAAACTTGTTGGACGTTGTAGCCAAACTAACTAGCTATCCATACATGTAAAAAAAATCAAGAATTTTTCATAACAAGATACCGTCAAGACGAGATATATCAAGTAAACACACCACGGAGTGAAGCCCGCTGACAGCCTACTCTATGGCAATTTACGCACAGAAACAAACTCGGGCAAAATTTTTTGCTTATGTCACATTTTCTCCACCAGTATTGGGTCTACGGACTTCAAACTTGTTGGACGTTGTAGCCAGACTAACTAGCTCTCCATACATGTCAAATAAATCAGGATTTTTTCATAACAAGATACCGTCAAGACGAGATATATCAAGTAAACACACCATAGAGTGAAGCCCGCTGACAGCCTACTCTATGGCAATTTACACAGAGAAACAAACTCGGCCAAAATATTTTTGTTGATGTCCCATTTTGTCCACGAGTATTGGGTCTACAGACTTCAAACTTGTATGACGTTGTAGCCAGACTAACTAGCTCTCCATACATGTCAAATAAATCAGGATTTTTTCATAACAAGATACCGTCAAGACGAGATATATCAAGTAAACACACCATAGAGTGAAGCCCGCTGACAGCCTACTCTATGGCAATTTACACACAGAAACAAACTCGGCCAAAATATTCTTGTTTATGTCCCATTTTCTCCACGAGTATTGAGTCTACAGACTTCAAACTTGTTGGACGTTGTAGCCAGACTAACTAGCTCTCAATACATGTCAAAAAAATTAGGAATTGTTCATAACAAGTTACCCTTAATACGAGATATAGCAAGTAAACACACCACAGAGTGAAGCCCGCTGACAGCCTACTCTATGGCAATTTACACAGAGAAACAAACTTGGGCAAAATATTCTTGCTTATGTCCAATTTTCTCCACGAGTATTGGGTGTACAGACTTCAAACTTGTTGGACCTTGTAGCCTGACTAACTAGCTCTCCATACATGTCAAAAAAATTAGGAATTTTTCATAACAAGATAACCTCAAGACGAGATATAGCTAGAAAACACACCACAGAGTGAATCCCGCTGACAGCCTACTCTATGGCAATTTACGCACAGAAACAAACTCGGCCAAAATTTTCTTGCTTATGTCACATTTTCTCCACGAGTATTGGGTCTACGGACTTCAAACTTGTTGGACGTTGTAGCCAGACTAACTAGCTCTCCATACATGTCATATAAATTAGGATTTTTTCATAACAAGATACCGTCAAGACGAGATATATCAAGTAAACACACCATAGAGTGAAGCCCGCTGACAGCCTACTCTATGGCAATTTACACACAGAAACAAAATCGGCCAAAATATTCTTGCTTATGTCCAATTTTCTCCACGAGTATTAGGTCTACAGACTTCAAACTTGTTGGACGTTGTAGCCAGACTAACTAGCTCTCCATACATGTCAAAAAAATTAGGAATTGTTTATAACAAGA